GATTTTTAAAAGGTACAAGGTTTCAAAAAGTACGGTTAGTGTTTTGTTCACAAAATAACTCTATGAGAGAAACCATTTGGGGCAGCTCTTACAAGTATTTCACAAATAATGCTGAGCTAGTAGGCCAGTCTTTATTCTCACTGTGTGAAAAGCCAAACTAGACATAAACTAATTTAGAGTTTATCTATGCAACTTACAGTTGTGGTGAAAATCTTGAGGCAATTTTCTAAAATTGAGGCAACTTTATTAGGTCCCTCATACTAGTTACATTTCAACGTCCTTGATCTTTGTGCTTCATGTCTCCAGCCAGTTGTCTATTATAGGTTTATATCAGTGGTTTTCAGGAGAGGGAAAGGAGAGGAATTTTGCCTCCCACTTGCTGGGGACATTTGGCAATGTCTGGAGACAGTTTTGGTGTCACAAGCCTGGGGACAAGGGTGTTACTATCATCTAGCACGGAGAGGCCAGGGATACGGCTAAACCTTCTACAACGCACGGAACACCCCACCACAAAAAAGAATGATTTGGCCCAAAGTGTCAATAGTACTGAGGTTGCAAAATACTGATACCATGTAAACAGTACATGTCTGCGAAAGATAAAAATTAAAAGCAGTGGGCGCCTGGGTGGCTCAGTCGTTAAGCGTCTGCCTTCGGCTCAGGTCATGATCTCAGGGTCCTGGGATCGAGCCCCGCATCGGGCTCCCTGTTTGGCGGGAAGCCTGCTTCTCCCTCTCCTACTCCCTCTGCTTGTGTTCCCTCTCTCGCTGTGTCTCTCTCTGTCAAATAAATAAATAAAATCTTAAAAAAAAATTAAAAGCAATGCAGTCAAAACTATCATGGAAGCTATTTTGTGGGGTAATAAACTGAATGACTTACCCTCTTACAAGCAAACTCATCTTCCCCAACCTCTGTGCATGTTTACTCAGAGGCTCTCAGATGTTCCCTTTTAAGGGGGGGGGACCTACAAATTTAAATTATCATGCATATTTATTGACTTAAAAATACAAAGAAAACAGACACCTTAATTGCCTTTACTAATGTGAAACCCTGGGGCTTTGCTGATCTGAAGACTGAGAGCAATAGGCCACACAGGCTGGAGTCTGTCTCTGGGATTTTAAAAACTGAATTTGAAAGAGAGAAATCTTTCCTCTACAAAAGACAGAATGATGCCAACCCCCAAGAAGAACAGGACATGAGAGATCCAGATGAAGGGGGACAGACAGTGTCCTCCTTACTGGGCCCATTCATCCCTGTGATTCGGTTACTGAGCCAGGAAATTGTTCATTTTTGCCTAAGCCAACTTGAATTAGGCTTCTGTCACTCACAACCAAAAAGTCCGGACTGACGTACCAGTGGATCAACATAGGCAATTTCAAGAATCAGCAATAATGCAATGAAATGTGAATTTTGAACTTGAGATTGGTTCTTTGATTGCAAAATTGAAGATAGAAATCCTAAACTACTCACTCAACAAACATTTCTACCTAGCATGTACCTAATATTCTGTGCTCACTGCTGGAAACACAAAGACAAAGAATAGTCTCTCCTTTCAAGGAGCTCTCAGGCTACTTGGGGAGACAGAAGAGTTCCATACGGTATGAGTGCTATGGTAGAAGCAAACACATCTTATTATAGGACCCCTTAGGAGGGACACTAGCCCTACCAGGTTAAGAATAACTTAGAGGTGGTGACTGCCTAAACTGAGTCTTGAAGGACATGAGATGGGAAAAGTAGGGAGTACAAAGGGCATTCTCACTGGAGAGAATGATAGTGATGGCGAGGTAAAACCAAAACACTTCTAGTCATGCATTATAGTGGAGCATGGCGTGCAACGGGTTGGCATTAGTGATGGACACGGGAGAGTGGCCAGGAAGGAGGCTGGAATGGAGGCCAGGGGTTGTGGGTTGAGTATCTTGGTGAAAAATCAGCACTTTAGTCCCAAAAGCTTTGGAGAGCCATTTACTGGATTTTATGCAGAGCAGGAACATGATGCATGTTAGAAATAATCACTCTGTGGTAAAACAGAGATAATAATCGTGGGTACCTGGCAAGGTTGTTGTCAAAATTGCAGATAATATTTAAATCCATGATTACCATGCTTAGAGATGGCCAAGTTAAAAAATGTACTCTCTTTCTGTTCCAAATACCGCTCAAAACTCAGAGTGGAGCATCCATTAGTAGGTATGATTAGGGCAGTTTTTTTTTTTTTTTCACCTGAGGCTTAGACTCAGTGTAAGGTAATCACCAAATCTGCAATAAAGTTGGGATTTAAATTCCAGGTCAGTCTCAGGACTGGCTAGGCCATTCAGGTTTCCTCCAAACCAGGACCCTGCCAGACGATACGGAGTTTTCAAGGTTATCCTGGAACTAGAAAGACCCCAATAGCCACTATGAAATCTTTTCAGTGTCTGAGGATTGGGGAATAAAGTGAATTGAGTTTTATATTAGGTTTTTTTAACTCAGTAAAATGTGTGAACTTGGACTAAAAACGAATCCTCAAGAATGCTGCTTCTGGGTCACAGGCGGCAAAATAAGGAAGAAATAACCTCATTGCAACATAAAATATCAAATTAATCTTTTCCATGTTAAAGGAAGAACAGAGAAGGAACAAGTGGGAAAAATGAGTTCATCTCAGGCTACCAAACCATTGCAAGATTTCTTTCTGGAGTTATACGTCCCTGGGCTAAGAAGCATATTTCACTTTCTGACTGATTTCAAGGGACCCCTTACACTCCTTATTTAGGTGAGTGATTTAGAAATTTTAAAGAGATAGAAGAAATTATTTGGGAAAGGCAATAATTAAAAACGTAATCCCTCAATTTAAAACAATACAATTTCTTTCACTATCAGAGAGTGCTAATTTTGTGTAAAAGGCAGAGTTTATCTCGAATTAGGAGAAAATGAAAAAACATCTGAAAATACAGCATTTTATACGCTAAGTTTGAAAGCAATGTCTATTTGTTAGTTACAACTTTTTCCTGTGTATTTTTTTATCAGATAGCCAGTTTTCAAGGCTTTAAAATAACCACTAAAACATATTGTTCATGAAAATTCCAATTGTTAACATTTTTCCAGGTAATCAAAAACTTTTCAACAATTGAGAACATTTTTCTTTATAAGAAGGTTAAATAAACATATATGTACATGTATTTGCTTATTTAACTTTAAAAAGACTATATAAAAGACCACCAACAGTAGCTTCCTCGAGGTTGAAACTGTCAGGTAGAGAGGGAGAGAGGAATTTCACTTTTTAACTTTATACCCTCTGGTACAACCTGATGTTTCTCAATCTACACAAGCATGTAGTATGTATGAATGCATACATTTTAATAATTTAAAGAACTAGATAAAAGGAATACTTTTCTAACTTATATATGCATAATCTTCATAGTAAATAGCTATAAGTTTTCTCCCCTTTAAGGTCCTACTTGCCAAATCACAGTACACCCTCACGTTAATCATATGTTCTATAGACAACTCTAATCAAAGGTATGGAAATGACCTTGAAATCATAACGCAATCTGTTTACTGCAAAGGCAGATGTGACTGACTCATAGCACAACACACATGTATAATAGCCCAGAAAGTTCAAAAAGAAAAGAAGCGTGGAGATGGGTGGGTAGATAGTTTTGTATGTACAAATTTAGACACGGAGTAATTTCATGTTCCTATACATTTTTTCTACTTCTACACATTTCACATTCGATTATCAAAAATCAAATTACTCCTCCTAACACATTATGAAACACTACTACTAAAGTGTCTTCATTTTCAAAGCGTAACAGGTGTCCAGAGTAATTTATTTTCCCCAAGGAAACTATTTGACTCAAGAAGTTTAACCTGATTCTAGATATTAGCCTCAATGTGAAGTGAAGTCTCTTTAAAATCCCTGAAAGGGCGCCTGGGTGGCTCAGTTGGTTAAGCGACTGCCTTCGGCTCAGGTCATGATCCTGGAGTCCCTGGATCGAGTCCTGCATCAGGCTACCTGCTCAGCAGGGAGTCTGCTTCCCCCCTTTTGTGCTCTTTCTCTCTCTCTCAAATAAATAAATAAAATCTTGAAAAAAAATAAAATCCCTGAAAGACTGCTCTTTTAAAAACATTCTTAATAAAGACATTCGGTGTTTAATTATGTTGTCATTTATAAATTAATTCATTTAATCCCACTAAGCTTCCGTTTCCTTATCTTTAAAATGGGGATACTAATAGGACCTAGTTCATAAAGTTAGGATGAGGATTAAATGTGATAATGCACACAGAATGCTTAATATAGTCTGTGGTACTTAATAAGCATCCAACCAATATTTGCTATTATTTTGCTTACATTTTCACTATTGTTTTAGTAATTTTAACATCTTCCAACATTAACTCTAGCTCTTAAAACATACTGAGTACAGCATATTCTTCCCAGTTTTTATATTACTAATTTAATTTTAACTCTTAGAACAGCCTCATCTTTTCTGCCATGTAACACAGGTAAAACCAACTGTGAAATACATTTATCTCAATTCCTATATTTAATATGTATCAGTTAATTAACATGTCTTTAGCTTATTATTGCTAAGTATCACTAAGAATAGCAATACTAACAACAAATGGTGATTAGAAAAGGTCATGCCATAAAAAAATTCTGAAATGGCTGCACATTGTCAGAAAAGGGTTTCAGCAATTAGATTTCTAAAGTACTGGTTTTTCACAGAATGAAAGTAAACTCATATTCTCACACTCTAATGTATACTTGTAGGTTTTAAGAGTTAAAATATTGTAAAAGCACAACCTTTAAGGAAAATAATTGGCTTAATACATTATCAAGAACTTAGACAAATAAAACATGACCTGAAGGGTGAAATTTGAGGCTAGAACTTGTGAGTTAGACTACAATTAGTTGAGCTGATGTCAATAAAAAAAGAATTATTTAAACACAAGATACATTTCTTAGTGTTTCTTTTGAACTCCTGCTCCTTACATTCTGGAGCTATTACAGGAAGCCAGCCGTACAATACCTTGATGAGGTTGTGTCCTACAGTGTAGACAGCTGCTAAGTCTCCCCTCTCTCCAGGCGCGTGCATACCTGTCCCGTACCCATGCCAAGCAATTAGATATGGATTGTGAATTGTAATCCAATATTTGACACGGTCCCCAAACATCTGGAAACAGTAGGTGGCATAGTCATTGAAGATACCTGTTATGGTTTCATTTTTCCACCCCCCATATTTTTCTTGTAGCGCCAGAGGCAAATCCCAATGGTATAAAGTCACCACAGGTTCAATGTTTCTAAATACTAAAGCATCGAGAAGAGTATTGTAGTACTGGAGACCTTTTGCGTTGGCAACTGCTGCTATCCCATCGGGGAAGAGCCTTGGCCAGGAAATTGAAAATTGATAAAAAGAAACTCCGATAAAATCCAGGGCTGATAAGTCTTTTTCCAGAAAAATGTAACTGTCACTGGAACTATTCGTGCTGTTGACATTTTGAAGGTGTGTTTGGATGAAATGATCCCATATAGAGGGTCCTTTTCCATCTGTCTTCCAATTCCCTTCCACTTGAAATGCTCCAGTCCCAACGCCCCAGAAAAAGTTTTTAGGAAAAGTGTCATAGAGAAAGAGCTGACTTTCATTTACCGGACTAAAATGAGGAGTTTTAGACCATATAGCTCTTCCATCTCCAGAGAATCCAGTTACAGCTCTTAGGAGAATAAATGCCAACAGGATGACAGATCTTTGCAGCCCGCAGTTGCACATTGTTTTCCTATAGTCTGTGTTTCTTTCATCGGTGCTGAGGAAAATCCATTCATTCCCTGGAGATCCAGCCGCACAGCCTGGCTTCATTTGGTACTAACTGCTCGCCTGTCTTATCATCGCTTCAGTAAAAGCTTGTGATTGTAAAGCTCTGTCAATGATTAGCTTGAACTGTGAGACTTAGGATGGGTCATGGGGAGCAGCGTAATTTGAGGGAGGTTTCCTTCCCTTTTACTATGGGAAAAGTGATATGAAAAACGCATCACCCATAGTAGTCTGCGTAACTAAAACGTAGATAAACAATGAATAAAAATGCCATATTCCCTCTGGAGCCTTGCATATGGACCCAAATCTTTTCTGAATGTTTGAACGTTACTGAATAAAGTTTATACCTTTTCTATGTTCCTAGTTTTTGAGTGGTGATTTTATTATTCCACGTTTCAGGAGAAGCAAAACAAATAAGTAGCATTCCTATATGCCGATAATCTAGAATTAGAAAATACAATAAGGTGCTACACGTCCACAGAAATTATAACACATCTAAGAATAATCTTACCAAATGCTACCCATGTTAAGACAATTATAAAAATGTATTGATAAATTTAAGAGAAATGAATGAAGAAGTATATAGCACTTTCTGGGTGGAAACACTGAATATTTTCCCATTTAATTTATACATTTAAGTGCACTTTCAACCTAAATCCTCTCATCCCAAATTTGAGTCCAACAAAATTACTGTGAAGGTTCACTTGACAAATAGTCGATATTTACCAAAAAATAAAAAATAAAAGAAAAAACCCTGACAAAGAAAATAGTGAAGGCATAGACTACCTTTAGATATGAAAACATAAAAAAAAAAAAAGCACAATTTAGCATGATTCTGGAATAAGAATAAAGAGAAAGAAAATACTGTACAGAATCCATAGCCTCCAGACAACTTTATAAAAATTTAATCTTTTAAGTTTTTTTTTTTTTTATTTATTTGAGAGAGAGAATGAGAGAGAGCACATGAGAGGGGGGAGGGTCAGAGGGAGAAGCAGACTCCCTGCCGAGCAGGGAGCCCAATGCGGGACTCGATCCAGGGACTCCAGGATCATGACCTGAGCCGAAGGCAGTCGCCCAACCGACTGAGCCACCCAGGCGCCCTAAAAATTTAATCTTTTAAATATCTGAAGTACCCCATACTAATGAAACGCAGAGTGGTTAATAGTTTGGCCTCTGGAATCAGACTGCGTGGGTTTAAATATAGCTGTGTGACTAAGGACAAGTTACTTAACCTTTCTGCACCCCAGTTTCCTGTTAAGTAAGAAAAGGCACAATACCGGCATCTACTGCATGGATGACTGTGAGAATTAAGTGAGTTAATACGTGTAAAGCACTTAGAAGAGACACTGACTGACCCATAATCAGTGCTCAACAAACATTCTTATTTCTATGTGAAAAGGAAGGATTATTCAGAAAGGGATGCTAAGATTTAGCATAAAAGATGCTATATTCTGGCTCCTGTCCACACCTTAAACTTCACTCCTCCTCAGTTAACTACACGTAGTACGCTTCCCTTCAACCATAACAAACCACGTTGAGTAAATTGGACACGCGTGGAGTGCTCGCATCCTGTGTCTTGATATCCGTGCTCTCTGCGTAGGGTGTGTCCCCCCCCTTCATCTAGCTCAGGTCCATGTGTTCTTCAAAATGGGGCAGTATCGCCTCAAAAAAAAAAAAAAAAAAGACTTTCCGGCTTCCTAATTTGTTTTGAATTATTTATTTAAATTAAAAACATTGGGGCGCCTGGGTGGCTCAGTTGGTTAAGCGACTGCCTTCGGCTCAGGTCATGATCCTGGAGTCC